ATATATATATATATATATATATTTTTTAGATTAGGAAACTTTGAGGGAGAATTGTCCAGTAAAATAAACAACGCCGAATCTGGCTCTGGTTTGAATGAATACGTCATGAGTTTGTTTGACGCCTCTTTGACTTGGAATGACATTAAATGGCTGAAAAGGTTATTAAACAATTTCGTTAGATTTTCAAAGGGAAAGAGTTGGAAAGAATACTGAGTTAATTATTTCTTGCAGCATCACGAATCTACCGCTGGTTTTAAAAGGAATTCTTACCCCACAAGATGCACTGTTAGCTATTGAATATGGAGTATCGGCGATTGTTGTTTCAAATCATGGCGCTCGGCAAGTTGACACTATTCCAGCCACGGTTTGTTATCTCTCCTAGTAGAGTGTACTCTTTTCATATTGTATTACAATAATTAATCAGAATAACTAGTGTAATTTATACAGATCGAGGCGTTGTCAGAAATAACAAAAGCTGTAAATGGTAGAATAGAGGTCTACATGGATGGGGGGGTGAGGCAAGGAGTTGATGTTTTGAAAGCACTTGCTTTGGGCGCCAAAATGGTAAGAATATATCAAATTATGCAAATGAACTTTACAATTGTTGTTTCTATGTAATTTCTATTTTTATATATTTTGTAGGTATTTGTTGGCCGGCCAATGTTGTGGGGCTTGACTTATGGTGGTGAGAATGGCGCAAGAGCGGTTCTTGAAGTCTTCAGGAAAGAAATTGATCTTGCATTCGCGTTGACCGGTATGATGATAGTCATTCATCGCGTGGAATTCCAATACCATCGTGTGTAATTTTATAAATATTTACAAAACCAATTTGCAGGTTGTGCTACCGTCAATGACGTTAAGAGAGATATGATTCAACACGAGTCTTACTACAGTCGTTTGTAACCAAAGGATGACGAAGTTAATTTAATTATAACAAGTTCACTTAAAAATTAATGGTCACTTCGATGGACGTGACATTAAAGATTATCATAAGATTATTTATCATAGAAATTACATGAAGAAATTATTTCAAAGTCGTTCAATAATAATTTTAAGGGCATTCCAAGAATACTTGAGTTTAGAAGTTATTCTGTTATTATAATTCTTCTAATAATAATATATAGTTTAAGTAGTGTAATGTTTATGCTCATACGTTGAATTATTTAAAAAAAAAAAGAAAAAATTGAACAGTATACAATAAAAGATGTGTGCCTTAGCTTGAATATCGAATGACACTGGAAGCATTTTTCTTCACAATATTGGCGTTTTATTGAATATCTCTTGTATATTCATCTTTGTATACATATATGCGTGTGTGCGGCACACATACATATCACAATTCACGAAGCGTATGTACGCGCACACGCATCCAAAGGTGATCCGCGGCTTCTTTTGCAAACGGAACAAGATTGACTATTTTGACGTCGATATTACATACATAACGCACGAAACATGCAACAGAGTACTTGCATCGCTCTCTGTTCAATTTGCAAAATACTCTCTTTTTTTTTTCTCTCTTAATCCATACCACACCGCATACCGGGGGGAGGAGGAGGAGGAGAGGTTTGAATTCTCTTGGCAAAAAAATAAATCCCTCTCTGTCTTTCCGGTATATCCTACCTTCGGTTTAGTAACTCTGGTGCCGTCATTACAGTCGTAATTCTTTTGTTTTTTGTATTTTTTTTTTTCTGTTTGTTTACTCACAGCTTTACAACGTTACAATTAATCGTTACTTGTATGTATATATTTATATTTTTATTTATATATATATATATATGTATATGTATATGTATATTTATGTATATATGTATAGTGGCCTCGTTCGCTACAGATTTTCCTGTTTTGCTGAGTTATGCACGCTAAACTTTTTTTTTTTTTTTTAGTTTATGTATTTAGTATGTATACGCAATGTACACGTGTGTGGTAGTATATATACACATACACGCCTCCTGTCTGTATGCTGTGTATATATAAATATAATTATATATACATGCATACACACAAACACTCGCCTTTCTTCACCGATTTTTGCTTTTTACACGCGGTTTTTCCAACAGAGGATACACGTTTGCGATATTATTTTCCAATATAGATCCAACTATATTATAAAAATATAACAACACGTTTGATAATTGCCGTTATCTCTATGATAATCGTTATCTCCTGGATAAGAACGTATTTCTCAGAAATGTGTTCCTCCAAACGAAATCCACCGGGCAGAAAATAAAACTTGTTTGACTCTCGCTATTAATAGATATAGATTATTCACGCGATAAGTTCTGTCTTATTTTATTTTTTTTTCGTCTTCTTTTTTTTCTTTTGGGAAGTCGACAATTCGCAGACGTGTATCCTCAATTTTCATCCTGTTCGATCAATCTTGCACCCTCCGACGACATTAAATCCGCATACACGGTATACAAGTTGGCTAATATATACGATTACGATAGATACACAGTGTGTGTTTGTTTGTGAGTTTTTCAGCTGTTAATTTTACTGTTCGTGAGAATCTCATGAAGGATGATTGTTCGAAATCCTGTTGGAATGGCGTCTTCTAATTATTCGGGATCCAGACGCGGGAGAGAAACTTACTTTCGCGATAAAGTGGCGATTTAGGCGATAGTACATTAGTAAGTGTAAAATTCATTGGTCCAGAGAGTTGTGTGTGTTTGGAGAGGGCCTTTTGTCTCCCCTGTCGCTCGGATTTTCTTCCTTTTCTTTTTTTTTTCTCTCTCTCTCTTTTCTTCTTCCCTCCTTTTTTCGATTTCTTTGCCCTCGATGATTCTTCCCTCGGACAAGGGCTTGAAACTGGAAACGTTGAAGTATCTTTTGAATCGGGAGAGGATATGCTTTATTTCCTTTCGATATTTGTAAGCTTCTCGAAAGTTTTTCTCGACTATATCTCGGGGATAGACTGAATGATTTCTATTCTTTTCTTTTTTTTTTTCTTCTTGATGGAACAATTTCGTGTTTACCTTAAGGTGATTGATATATCGTTTTTCCACTCTTGGAAAAATGGCCTCTTGATGCAAAAATTTGGTGATAACAATGTCGTTAGAGATCGGTATCTCGGATGAGAAAATGTTTCGAGTTTTTAAAGAGACGACGTTTCCTCCTTTTTTTTCTTCTTCTTCTTCGTTTGTTTGCTTTCGACGTCTTTCCCATCTCGATCGGTCGAATAACGATTACCTGATCGACGAAAGTGATCGGATAGCTGA